GTGTATATTATAGACATAAAACTCCTCTCCATACAACCTGCGACAATTCCGTACAAAGTAACACAGTAAGCGATGTGCATAATTTGAATAATGCAAAACAAGGTCTTCATTCAAAAGGATAGTTATTGCCACGCAAAGACACATAAAATGTTTGTACAAGTTTTGTGGCAACACGCCTTTTAAAGCAAATTGTCCTGTATATAGAAGGAACTGGCGAAACTCGGTAGCTTTCCATCTATCAACTTCCTCAAGACTTCTTGGCTTTCTTGCAAATTCTTTAGGTATATAATGGGCAAAAGACACAAGTTTAGTACTTATCTGAGAAATCTGACCAATGGACAGTCGATTATTCGCTCTCGGGCCCCGCATCCAAGTTAACAGAAGCTTTTTCATTACACCAAGGCACACCTGATGCATGTAATCCACAGGAAAGTCTTGTACCATATCTATTGGAAGGTCAAGAAATGGAGATCGAACATCTTGTTTATGATGCTCTTCTTGTGTTTGGTTCCGGAATGATGTATTTGTTCTGAAAACAAGATTATCTATGACTGGGTAGGTCATCCTTCCTATATATTGCCCACGTTGCTCGCATTTGTCACATCCATAATACCCAGAATATTGTTTGACACACTTGACAAATGATTTTGCTGGTGCATCACAAATTATGCACAGGACTTTGATTTCAAAATGTTCTTCATTGATGTTAATTCCATTGGTTATTAAATTATTTAGGTCAATAATTGTTTCATTCAAGAATTCTAGGTTCGATGGTTTTGAAGTGCCAACAGTCAATGTTATAGGGAACGCTTTTGGAGGTTTTAAATTGCAAATGAGTCCTAGTATTGGCCATACTGTTGTTTTGCTGCTTTTGAACAAAGGAAGTCCATCGATGTTCAGAGATAGTATTAATTTATTACTAAGCGCCTCAATGTCCGTTTGAGTGTATTTCTTTAATGTATTAAAAATCATTATTTCAATTCCAAAGTGAAAATAATCCATGTCTGAAACTCTTCTTAGATCAATGTGCCTTGGTGTATTAAGAAGCGTGCGCGAAGAAGCTGGAAGGTTTGGATTTACAGTTTTTCTTAATCTTTTCAGAAGATCATCAACTGTGCTTGCGTTAACTTCATTCACATTTACCCATTCTCTGAGTGTGTTTATCACTTCACTTTGTCCATCACTGTTATCTGATTCCTCGTCAGTAGATGTAACACATGCGGCAAAATTTAGATCTAATCTGTTAACATGGTCAGTGCTGTTATCTTCAGATTGTGCATTACCACAATCGGTCTGAAAGTTTAGCAACTCAGGTACATTGTGTGCATCACGCACATCTTCAGAAGAGTTTCCATCTTGGTTAACATATGAGCTTTGAATTGAATCGGAATCTGTTTCTAATTCGGACCGTTCCTTCTGATTCTGTAATAGTATTTTTCGACGCTTTTCAGACATCCATTTCTTGTTGTATAGGCGTCTTTTATTTTGTTTTTTGTCAGGGTCCATGATCGGTATCTAAAGTAAAATTTTCTAATTCGTCAAATACTTCTGATCAATAGAATCCAGATTATCTTCAAATTTAGATATTAAAAAGCCAGATTTATAATTTTTTGTTATCCATATCTTTCTTTTTTATTAATTGTTGTTGTTGTTGTTTTTTTTTTGTTTGTTTTTTTTTTTTGTTTTTTTTTTTTTACGATTTTCAATTATAAATAGCTTACAGCTTTTGAAGTTTAATAGGTGCTGTAAAATTTTGGTATTATTTTGTAAAGCATGTTTAAAAACAAATTAGTGACAAAAACAGGAAAAAGAACATATCAATGTTTATCAGGTGTTTTTTTTTAAACTTAATCTTTCCTCAGACATATATACGTATTTGTGTAATTAGAAGGCACTGAGAAAGAATAGTGCACTGCATTAGTCAGCCTACCTTATTTAAATGAAGTATCTTTATTATTATTATTTTACGTACAACATATACATAGTATATACCGGGGTTGCGTCCCTGTCCTGCATTGGGAAAATTACTTAGCCTACACGACATCATTAAACCAGAGGCATAATTCGTTTTTAAACCCAAGTTATTTGTAACTGACGGTAATATTAAGCAAGCTTATGTAAGCAGAAAGTTTCTTCTACTTGTTAAACTAAGATATATCAATATGATGAAGGTTCCGATAACCTAACGCGGTGTTGTAAACAAGGAAAAGCTGTTAATTTGCATTCCTGCTGTGCATTTATTTTGAACTAGCCATTGCCTTAATTATGTCTCAGCCAAAGAATGCTTATTGCTTAGACAATATCAAACACTATTTCTTCCTGTTTTCGTATTGTATTTGATAGATTACTATGAATTAGAAACACTGTAATATGATCTAAAACAAAATGAAAAAAATCCAAAAGTGAATGCCTATGAATATTAGTACATAATAGGTACCCTTAATTTGTTTCGACATCTTTTACAACTTGGAGCATGCGCAATCTAATCTAAACTGACGGTCTAAGGCTGAATAAAAATATAAGATGAATAAAAGTTTCACACAGTATCGGTTTGTAAGTCAAATCAAATATAGTGCATAATCTAATTTATGTACATTTAGATAAACCAAATCAACACAATTCATATTTCAAACAATAGTTAAAACACAGTATTTAAGTATCAATGGACTGATTCTAGAACCTATGATTTTCTGTATGAAAATTCTTATAAGTGAATTGTTTATTGACATTATTAAACTATACATTCCCGGTAAAGTTATTATTACTGTATTTGACCATTGTTGTCTTGAATAGATAAAAACTGAGTATGTATAATCCTGTATTATATCTAACATGCTAGTTGCACATACAATACATAAGTACATGTACATGTATGTACATGTATATATATTGTCAATATATAAGTGTACATGTAAATGTACCAGAATTCATGATCTATAAGATTTTACCTGTTAAAGACATATATATATATATATATATATATATATATATATATATATATATATATATATATATATATATATATATATATATATATATATATATATATTTAGATCGAGTATACGGAGCTAACTACAACCGCTATAAAGAATTAACATTTATAATCATGCTTATATTTGGTAAGAAATAAGAAATATTGATATATTAAGTACAAAACTATACTCACATTCAGTGAAGTATTTCAGCTACTGTTCTTTGTCTTGCAAGATTTCAAAATGTTTGACCCACAGAGAGATAAAGTCACGTGGAAACTGTATGCAGCTGGGATGGGCTGCCTCAGCCCTAGCCATGGAACCCCACTGTGTTTTTCCATTAACTCCCGATCAACACATTAGAGAGGAGACTTAATCCCCAGATTAACTGATTGCATCGATATCTTTTGTCCAACAAAATTGATGAATTACCATTTCATACTCTTTGTTTGTTGCATAAAATATTTTATTGAAATGTTAATTTTAAACTGAAATTTAATTTGATAGTAAGGTCACCTTTTAATAAGCAGCATTAAAGATATTTTTTCAGATTTTTTTTATCATAATTACATGTAAAATTATTCAATGTATCAGGTAACTTTTTTTTAAAGTTTGATAAATATACCATATTAATAAAAAAAAATTGATTTAAAAAAAATAGTTATTGAAACTGCAATTATTTCCATAACGTTTTAAAAATGTTTTTATAACATTTTAGACAATGTTAAATTAATGTTGTCTGGTAACATGTCGTTTTTCAATTTGGAATTTATATTTTTTTTTTTAATTCTTAAAAAAGATTTTTAAAGTGTTACTTTGTTTGTGTAACTATTAGAAATATATATTCAAAAAATTAAATGTGTTTTTAAAAAACATTATGAAAACGTTTTAAAAATGTTATTACAAATGTTTAAATAGGAATTAAAAATAACGTTTTTCAAAATGTTTTTACAATGTTATTTAAATGATGGTAAAATGATTCTAAAACACTGTAAAAATGTTTTGTTAGAAACGTTTTCTGATAACGTTCTTGCAACTGGAATGAAATGTTATGAAAAACATTATATAAATGTTTTCTTAGAACGTTTTCTCAAAACGTCCTTACAACCTGATTATAATGTTATACTAACGTTTTTAAAATGTTTTCTTAAGAACGTTTTCTAATAACGTCCTTACAACCGGAATATAATGTTATGAAAACGTTTTGTGCTACCTGGGTACGTTATCCCCAAAAAATAGAATACCTGCCGTTCATATTAATCAGAGTGATCTTCAATAAATTTCTCCAACTCATCCATATTTTACCGCAACATGCTACATGTATATATGTACAGCATTAGATATTTTCTGTTCCGTTTTCCGTACCCTGTGCTTTGTCTACGTTCAGAGATCTTCATGAATAAGAAAATGAACATGACTAAATCAGATCGTATTTTAATAATTAAGGATTAAATATAAAAAAATTATATGATGTATACCGTTTCTGGTATGATTTTTATATCCTTGAATCATATTTTCCGTTTTCCGTTCCGCTTTCCGTTCCGCGTTTTAGTAACACCCCCTGGAGTGACTCAGGTGACCTAAAAATGATTACATCTGTGAAACACACCCCTTACCCACCTTCACACCCTTTTATACAGGAATCCAGTCCTCCACTGATTAAACCACTAGTTTTTGAGAGGGTAAAAATAGTAATGATCTTAGCCTTTAATTTTATATTACCCTAGATAACACGTCACAACTGTTGTTTGCATGTCCCCATAGTATGAAGAAACTCATCTTCCCCCCCCCCCCCCAATAATTTTGCCGATATATACATTACTGTAGAAAACATTGCTAGTATATGCTTGTGCCCCCTCAATAAAAACGTCTGATGACTTTTTTTTTTTTTTTTTTTTTTTTTTTTTGCTTGTCAAGGAATTTTTGGTTGATAGTGCCCCCTCAACTGAAAATACATGGCTGTGCCCCCCCCCAAAAAAAAAAACTGAAATTGCTTCCTACGGGCCTGTATACTAATGAAATTCTTACCTTTTTCTAAAAAATGATTGGAATTGTGAGTCTTTCCCACATGAAAAATGAATAAAATGGAAAAAATCTTTAAAATTATATTCATTTCTCGTCTCATTCCTGTTCGAACTTCCATGGCCTTAACTTGCATCCAGAAATGTTATCAACGTGTTAACTTCCTACTTCCGCGATATTACGAGCTCTCTCATTTACAAACCTTCTTTAGTTAATGATTATATGTAAAACTTTGCTTTGTGTTTGAATATACATATACATTTTGTTGGATGAAAACTTCCAGACTTGCTTTGTATGTTGGAACTGACCAAAATTTTCTTGATTAGTAAACAGGTTAAAAGTTTTTGGAGCAGGTCTATTTCCAAGTATGATTTTTCAGCTAACCAAACTTCAGCAGTTTCAAGATTAAGGAACATAAAAAGTACAATATGAAACTTCTTTTTGAGTTCAGATTTGGATTCAACTTTGCTGCAGTCAAGTTCCTCACTCTCTAAACAATACCCACAATGTTAATTTAATTCAGTTACATTTCCACTACTGTATTAATTTATAACCACAAAACTGTGCAAAGTAATAATTACCTGCAATAGTTAATCGGTTATTTCACTGTAGGACTCCTCATAAACTGTCTTTAAAATTTCTACATGCAAATAATTTTAAAGTAGATATAAAACTCCCCTGATGCTAACAAGATATGTTATGTGTGGTATCAATTGTCATTTTAATTTTGAAATAATTTAGTTAATTTGAATTAACAGCAATTACCTTTTGTATGGCTGTCCACCCAAATTTAACTCTTCTTTGTGGGTATATTATATTTGTATATTATTTATATGTAAAACTTTGCTTTGTGTTTGAATATTTTTGAATACTTTATGAATAACTTTATTCTTCGTGTTCTAAATTTGATTACGCCGAAAAAATATGAAAACTCTCCTAACTGAAGACACCTCTGGTAAAAAAAAGTTGGAGTGCACTTTTTTTTTAAAGATTTTCTACTTAATATGAAATTTCATTTTAAAAAGACCCAGAATTTTGTATTTTAAACGCCCAGAATTTGTTACCCAGAGGTCTCAAAATCGTGAAATCCATTTTCCGAAACCCCCTACCAGGGCGCTCCCCTGGACCTGCTGCATGGGATCTTGGGCGGTCCCCAGACCCCTCGTCGCATACAGGGTAATTTGTGCCTATACTTCGTCAAAGTTCTAGCTACGCCCCTGACATTTGATTATGAAAGATTTTATAGCAGTTGTCATGGTTATGACATTACTTTTGAACCAACCCTCGTAGCATTTGATTGGATGGCGGTTTGTCAAAATCCTAGTAATACCTTGTTACCCGTTGCCATTGTATATGCTAATTAATTGTTTCTATAAAGAATCATTTATTTATTACACACATCAATGTATAAAATAGTGTCTTGGAAAATATACGCAGATTTAATAGGCCTACATATTGTTTGTTTGTAGGTTGTTTAACGTCCCTCTCGAGAATTTTTCACTCATATGGATACGCCACCACTTGCCGGTGGAGAGCTGCAAATTTTGTCCTATGCTCGGCACTTACGGCCATTGAGCAGTGAGGGATCTTAGAGCAGACGCTCTAACCACTGCGCCACGCGGGCGACTAGGCCTACATATAGTTAGAAAAGAGGACCTTATAGTTTTTTTTTTCTCTCTCTCTCATAACGATTTTTTGAGAAACATCAAAGTGGGCCTAGTTTTTAAGACGCATGAACCATATTTTTTTCTAAAATCATGTCGTAAAATTTATGCAAAACTACGGATGAAATGTAAGCGCAGCATCCAGCGCAATATTCCGTTTATATTGAAATGCGCTCTCGCATTCACTGGCCGTCCATACCAAGCACTCGTTGGAGTAGGACTAGACGATGTTAGAGATGTATGTACTTATGCTTTACTTAATATGTCACAGCAAACGGGATTGGCATTATTAAAAGTATATTTCATACGAAATACAATATTATATTCAAAGTACAAGTAAGGTGAAGTAGCTCAATAATTAATAATATAGTGCTGCAATAGACTGATCCTTAAAGCGACAGTTAGTACATAGACAGTGATGCTACCAAACATTTGGGCGTTCTATGGTAAATCCACTATGATTTAATTTTTTCTTTCGATGTGTGGGTAGCTCCATCCTGGGACAATCAATGTACAAGATGCACAGGTTTTAGAGGTAGTGTACAGTTACTCAAACAATGAAAATTCATCTTTTGCTTAAAAGTATTCAAATGCTGCAATGTTAGAACTATCTTTGATTTCGGTTGTTGTTTAATAGCCCATAGTACATATATGAATAGTCAAATACTTGCGACTTTTTGTCTATTTCTTAAAAAAAACATTTTTCTGAAAAACTGCATTTAAATAGCTTTATCAAGCTTTTTTGAATAGCTTAATAAAGCTATATAGCTATTTCAAGCTATAGATTGTGCTGGACCTGTCAAATGTGAAATGACAAAGTTACAAACCAGAAAACTACAAAGGCTACTGTGAGATTTTTTCCCCCAAAGATGGCGGACAAGGGACATATAAACTTTTGAAAAGTGTGGATTCAACTACAACTGCATTTGGGTCAACTCCATCTCACAGTTCTCCAAAAATAAAGCCACACTTCATAGAGATGTCAGACTTCAAATGAGTTGAGCATAATTGTTCCAGTTCCATCATGATCAATTAACAAATTATATTTTGATGGGTCTAAAATAGATCTATATTCACTATTTCTTCATTATTTCCCCTAAGAAAGCCATTAAGGCTGTTTAAAGGCCTTTAAGGGGGAGGGGTACATTGAGTGTGATTGCACCCTTAAAAAAAAGAACAAAAATATCATTTTTGTTACAAAATAAATTAATCCATTATACATTATTTTTCAGCTACACAATGTCCATTGAGAGGCAGAATATAGTGTGGGAATCAAGACCAGTACACATAGTTTTATAATGGCAGTCTTCAGATGTCGATACAAACTAAAACCTAAAGTAGTGGCCATAAGTTCCTTCCTTTGCATTGCTCTGACTGTACATTACTTCATTTCGTCCAATTTTAGGACTAAAAGCCAAACCAATTCCTTTGGAAGGAAGTCTTACTCTAGAGTTTATATGTCTAATGATGCTCAAAATCCGAATCAACAGATTGAGGTTTGTAGGATACACCAGCTACCACTTTACAGCCGAGAAATCGAACATGCTATTCAACCAATGGATAAACCTCTTGTATGCAATGGAACCAACCTGTTTTATTTTAAAGACAATATTTTATCAATAAATATGAGTGTCTTGTACCCGATTCATAATACCATAGATTTGTACGAATTTAAATCTAGAAAGTTGGAAAATAAACCAGTTATAAAAGCATGTGAATATAGGGGAATAGAAAGAGTGACAGATTCATTTTTCACATACACGGAGAGTATCATCAAAGAAAAGGAACCATTTAACTTCCTAATCAAGCATGACTTTGTACGAGTGAAATGTCTGTTAAATTCCACTGTCAATTTAATCAACGCAGATGAGAACGAGACTGAAAAAAATGTTGACAGTGACGGCTCTTATAACGAAGCTGACGAGAGGATCGAATCGGAAAGGAACATCTTTGAGGAGTATCTCGTAGATTTTGACCAGTTTTTAGTCCAAGTTTATCCTCGAGAGGAGGTTTTTAAAAGAGCCTCCGCCTTGCCAGATTCACTCGGTTCGGATCAGATGAATGTGATGCTGATTATTTTGGATTCTATGTCTCACATGTCATTCCGTAGAAAACTGCCAAAAACTTACAGCTTTTTAAAGAAAAATTTAGCGTCAACAATTCTGAATGCATATAATATTGTTGGTGATGCTACTCTAGCAGCATTGATACCAATTTTAACAGGTAAACATTGGCATGATAAAATTTTAAAGTATCTTGTGTATAAAAGTTATTGTGTTCTTCATGCAAATTTTTCCAATCATATCCTTTTTACCTCATCTGATCCAAAGGCTGAGGAGAGTTTTTGTCTTATCAAAACATGTCTGTCAAGTGTTGAATTAATTTATAGATCTATACATCTATTCATGTTCAACTTCAATAGTGTAAGATGTAGAAACTTCAAACAGGTCATGCAGTTTGCCAGATATTCATTACCAAGAAAAATGGCAAGGTTGACTAATTTGACTTAATGAGTTTATATCATTTAATCATTGAATCACATTATATAACAATTATTACTTTTTTTTGGGGGGGGGGGGGGGCAATATAAGGATTTAGCAACCCTCAAAGTATGATATCAACCTCGATCATTAAGAATCGTATTCTTCGGATAGCAAGACCTAAAAAATAGCAATAATTTTGTAGTAGTCTATTAACTGATGGTGTAACATGAATGTGCTATGCTTCTTGTAGGTAAAACAGAACTCAAGTTACCTGAAGTTAGAAAAAGCCAGGAAGACTCTTATTACATGGACATTTATCCAATGATCTGGAAGGAGTTTAAGAAAAAGGGATATGTCACCATGTTTGCTGAGGACGAACCTTCAATTAGTGCTTTTAACCTTAGATTAAATGGTTTTAAGGAATCCCCAGTGGACCACTATATGAGACCATTTTGGCAGGCCATCTGGGACTCTGAACTCCGAGAAAGGAGCAAAAGATATTGCACAGGTGGTACGCCACATCATAAGTTTTTATTAGAATACCTGAAAGACTTCTATGTGAAATATCAGAATATTTCCAAGTTTTCCTTGACATTTTTGGCCGAATTGACTCATTGGGATAATAACCCAGGAGAATATTTAGATATGGATTTTATGAAATCGCTGAAAATGTTCAGCAAGTTGGGATTTCTGGACAATACTCTACTGATTGTGATGGGGGACCATGGTGCTAGATACGGGAGGATCAGACGTACATTACAGGGGAAAATAGAAGAGAGGCTGCCCTTCATGAGTCTTCATTTTCCTCATCGATTTAAACTTACACATCCTCATTTGATTAAACTTCTTTCAAAAAATGCAAATCGACTGACAACACCTTTTGATGTTCATGAAACACTTAGGGATGTCATTGACTTGTCAAGGTTGTATAAACCTGTGATACCTAGCAGAGGAATTAGTCTCCTTCAGGAGATTCCGGCCAATCGTAATTGTGCGTCTGCTCATATTGACCTACATTGGTGTTCATGTTTAGTGCAAAGTAAGGTGGACGCAAACAGTGATAATATAAAAGTCATGGCAGATGAACTTCTTCATTATATCAATGATTTGACACTGCCATTGAGGGACTCATGTCATGAGCTTTCAATTCTTAAAATAAAATCTGCAAATTTAATTAGTCCTAATGAAAAAGTAAGGAATTACTGATAAAACATTTGAATATTAACAAATTATACTGGGTAAAATTATTATTGACTAGAATATAACTTTTCAGTTTATTTTTAAATTAATTCAAATGGCTTGCAAGATAAACATTTTCCTGCATGTGTGTAACTTTTCAGTTAATTTTTAAATTAATTCAAATGGCTTGCAAGATAAACATTTTCCTGCATGTTTGTAACTTTTCAGTTAATTTTTAAATTAATTCAAATGGCTTGCAAGATAAACTTTTTCCTGCATGTTTGTGTGAGTGATCTCTACGGAAATGATGCATGTCAAAAGCATCTGTGAAGTACAAGTTAATAAGCTTCATTAAAGTCACTCTCTTCCCTTGGAATAAAATCATATGTTCTTCTATTTCAGGTTTTGAAATTTTTGAAAACAGTGGATGCTGATCAGAGAGTGGCCAACTTTAGTTCAGAAATAAATGTAGATGTAGCACATTACCAAATAACCATGGAAACACTTCCAAACTATGCACGATACGAGGGCACAGTGACAAAGAACTTGAAAGACAACAAATATGAAGTTTTCCGCAGCGTCAGTAGGTTAGATCACTATGGCAACCAGTCTGCCTGTGTGATGAAACAGTATCCAGATCTCAGAAAATTTTGTCACTGCAGATGATATTCATTGAGTTTTGATAAACTGTTCTCACATATCATGGATACAAAATCAGGTTAGATGTGTTCTTTAGGTGGGTTAACAGGTAACTGACCATGGTTAGTGAACGAAACTCCTGAATGTATACTTCCAGGAATGCAGGCAGCAGTTACTGGCCTTTGAAATTTTAGGGTTATTAATTAATTTGAGATTCGGGACATATAGTTTTTAGCTCACCTGAGCTGAAAGTTCAATTGAGCTTTTCTGATCACATTTTGTCTGTAGTCCGTCTGTCTGTCTGTCCATCTGTCCATCTGTAAACTTTTCACATTTTCAACTTCCTCTCCAGAACCACTGGGCCAATTTCAACCAAACTTGCCACAAAACATCCTTGGGTGAAGGGGATTCAAGTTTATTCATATGAAAAGCCACACCCGCATTCGAGGGAAAATAATTCAGAAATAGTGGAAATTTGGTGGCATATTTTAAAAACCTTCTTCTCCAGAACCACTGGCCCCAAAAAGTTGAAACTTACAGGAAACCTTTATTACATAGTGAAGAATCAAGTTTTTCAAACCATGACTCCTAGGAGTAGGGTGGGGCCACAATGGGGGATCAAAGTTTTACAAATTTTACGAAGTATATAGGAAAAAAATCTTTAAAAATTGTCTTCTCAAGAACAGCAAAGCCATGTTTAGTCATATTGATACATGTATGGAAGCATCCTCAGGTAGTGTAGATTCAAATTTGTTCACATCATGACCCCTGGGGGTAGGGTGGGGCCACAGTTTTACATAGAAGTATACTAGTGTAGGAAAAAATCTTTAAAAATCTTCTTCTCAAGAATAGCAAAGTCTTGTTTCATCATATTGATATGTAAGCTTCCTCAAGTATTGTACATTCAAGTTTGTTCAAATGATGTGATGACCCCCGGGGTTAGGGTGGGGCCACAATGGGGGATCAAAGTTTTACTTAGAAGTATATAGGAAAACATCTTTAAAAATCTTCTTCTCAAGAACAGCAAAGCCATGTTTAGTCATATTGATATGGCAGCATTCTCAGGTATTGTAAATTCAAGTTTGTTCAAATCATGACCCCTGGGGGTAGGGTGGGGCCACAATGGGGGATCAAAGTTTTACATAGGAATATGTAGGAAAAAATCTATTTCTCAAGAATAGCAAAGCCATGTTTAGTCATTTAAACAATAAAATGCTTTCTTTGGTTGTTAGTACGGGAAATAATGTTGCAGCTGTTGCAGAAAAAATACATAACCCGCATGAGCGAGTTATGTAATTTTTTTCTGCAATAGCTGCGACATTAATTCCTGTACTAACAATGAAAGAAAGACATTTTATTGTTTATATTAACATCTGCATAATAAAACATTCAAAGAAAAATCAAATATGTTAAATATTGTATTATAGATGTGAATGTCATTGTATGCATAATTAATGGAACAGCCTTTGCTCAAGAAATCTATGCAGGTGGCTAGCTTAGTGTTGTTTACTGACTGATGAACAGCAATGGTTTTCATAAGAAATAAAGGAAATAATATTCAGTGGATGTAAATATATTGATGTGGAAGCATCTTCAGGTAGTGTAGATTCAAGTTTGTTCAAATGATGACCCCAGGGGGTAGAGAGGGGCCACAAAGGGGTATCAAATTTTACAAAGGAATGTAGAGGAAAAAATCTTTAAAAATCTTCTGGTCAAGAACAGCAAAGTCATTTGTTATATTTATATGGAAGCATCCTCAGGTAGTTTAAAATTCAAGCCCCCCTCCCCCCCTACCCCCAGTTTACTTTTCAAAACTGAACTGATTTGTGCTTTTCCTAGCCAATGTGCTCAGGTGAGGGATGTGGCCCATGGGCCTCTTAGTCTATCCACCTGTCTGTCTGTTTTCATCAAAATCTTTAACCTTGGTAATAACCTTTGAACTGTTAGTTCTAGGGCTTTCATATTTCACATGTATATTCTTTGTGACAAGACCTTTCTTTGGGTACCAACATTTTTTATCTCATGACCTTGACCTTGGAAGTTTTACCTACTTTTGTAAAACATTAACCTTGGCCATAACTTTAGAATGATTAATACTAGAGCTTTCATATTGTACTTGTATATTCCTTGTGATAAGACCTTTTCTTGGTTTTCAACATTTTTGACTTAATGACCTTGAACTTGATGTTTGACATGCTTTGAAAAACTTGAACCTTGGCTATAAGCTGCTATATGGGGACATCAGTGTTTCTTAAACACATTTTGTTAAAACATTTTTCTTTGTTATGTGATATTTTTATAAGAAATTTTGTCAATGAATGTAAATATTTCATTGCCTACAGAATGATTCAATCTCGTGAACCTTCTGTTTAATTTAGCCATGTGACTGCTCATGTGTGAATCTTTTAAATTATTTTTCTTGTTTTCTCATTTCTAGATGTCATTTTTCTCAGTAATTTGACTCCATGATTAAGTTCCTTTTTTTTTATAAACATGTATATATTTACAATTGGTGATTTGTATAATTTTAAATCAACAATATCACTATTGAATTATACACTCTTACTACACAAAGTAATATTATATTTCCTTATTTGTATATTACATTATTTGTTGTATATTTACATGTATGTAATTTACGTGTGTGGGTAATCATTTTCAATATTGATTGTTGTCTTACTTTTAATTTTGTATAAAAAATATATTAAATGAATTTCTAAAAATCTCTGTTTTGATTTTCCTTCTAATACTAACTGTAGTTGTTCATCCATCTAAAAAATGAGTCAATTTGTTTTCAGTGGCAGATTTAAGGGGGGTGCACCCGGGGCGCCCCCGTAAAACTGTCAAAGTTAGCGTAAATCATAGTTTCATCGAGAAAATGTAAAAATGTGTACTCGGTAGACTTCATTTTTACCTTACAAAATCTCTAGAATCCAGGAGCTTCCGGGGGCAAAGCCCCCTGGGCCCCCACCAGGACGTCGCCCTGGACCCACTGCCTACTAACTTCAATTCCTGGATCCGCGCCTGGTTTGTATTCAAAATTTTAAACTACTTTGACAACACTAACAGTAACTTTGTTCTTTAATACATGCACGTAGTATTGAAAGTGGGGGAAGGAGGGGGACAGCCATAAAAATATTTGACAAGCAAAAAGAAAATGATAATTGTCCAAAACTTCAGAATCATATAATTTAAGGACATACGCAATGTACCTTACCTACTGATAATTTTTCAAGATATTCTTAATTTAAGATTATGGTGTCATCAAATTTTCGTAGACAAGCATGCATTACCAGGAGTTTTGAAAAGATATCAATTGATGAAAATTCTTGTATAATTCAAAGAAAAATATACAAAAATTACTGAACATATGTCCTAGATGTTTTGTTTATCCAAACTTGTTTTAGAAGAAGTTTACAACAGCTACTTTAAAATGTAGCACATAGTTCCTTTAAGTATTGTTACTCTTCAACTCCAGAGAAAAAACAATAAAATTCAGACTATGTTGTGTATGTCCTTAAAGGGGGGGGGGGGGTCTAACTTTTTTATAATCAAGTTACAAACATATCTGTAAATACATTAACATAGGACGATTTGACTAAACTGCAAAACGTGGTGGGGACGAACCGCCTTTTTAACATTTTTCAACAGTAAAAGGTTATGTTTGGACCCCCCCCCCCCCCACTACGTGCCTGTAATATTCTCTGTTATAAATGAGACAAGTACTAATATTGTATGAAAGCCCATTGAGCTCATTTTCGTAGGTAACAAAAATATATTTTTCGCGTTATAACGCGAAACTTTCGCGAATAAACGCGTAACTTTCGCGAATAAACGCGTAACTTTCGCGAAAAAACGCGTAACTTTCGCGTTATAACGCGTAACTTTCGCGAATAAACGCGAAACTTTCGCGTTATAACGCGAAATTATACATATATAGTCATGTTACTCAGGAACCTGTGATCTTGACTGACAGATAAAAAACATGAACGCAGAGGGGGACTTCTATGAATTTATAAATGACAATTCTTCAGAAAATGTAAAAGAGAATTGATGCGAGAAATGGATAGATTAGTGTTGATTTTGCATTTAATCTCAAAACCCTAATTAATTAAATGAATATTCCTTTAAAGGTTTTCTTGTTTTTCACTTGTTGAATCCAAGAAATTCTGTAGACTAATTTTTTTTCTCAGGAAGATCTCCACTCGTTGCTTTCTTTGAATAAATTGTCAATGTTTTCGTAAGTAATGGTATGACCAAATGATGCAACCTTAAAATACAATGTTGTATATCTTCAGTGAGTCTATCGGAGATGAAATATTTGATACGAATATTTGTCATCCAATTTTCACATTAGGTTACTCATGTAATGTGACACAATTGTTCCGTGAAATACAATTTTACTTCATTGTTGTCAATTTTCTGAGATCTTTTATTTCAAATTCTATATAGAGTGTTCAATCTAGTTAAAATTAGACTTGTATTTTCGCTCCTCTACTATACGCTTCAACACTTGTATTGAACAGCATTGAGAAAGACAAAATGTGACGGCAAAAAAGATTTAGAAAGAGGAAAGACACATTCAATGGCGAGAAAACATAAAATTTCAGCTCGTGATAATCCAAGTTCAACATAGTCTTTCGTTTTTCACTGAAATGAATAAACTAGATCATTAAAAAGTAAAACAAACTGCAGACTTATGCAAATGTCTCTGTTTTACAGGGAAAGTTTCGCGTTATAACGCGAAAGTTTTGCGTTTATTCGCGAAAGTTACGCGTTATAAGGCGAAAGTTACGCGTTTATTCGCGAAAGTTTCGCGCTATAACGCGAAAGTTACGCGTTTGTTCGCGAAAGTTTCGCGCTATAACGCGAAAGTTTCGCGTTATAACGCGAAAAATATTTTTTTTTTAATCTACGAAAATGAGCTCAATGGGCTTTCGTAAATATGCGAGTAAATAGTAAATACACTTATCACATTCTAATAAAGCCGAATTTTATTGAACACATGTACAAGACATTTTTAAAAGCAACAGGTTTTAATCCATTCATGCTCTTAGTTCTATACGTGCACATCACAGAGCGACACGTAGCATCATCTTTTTCCAAATCAAAGGGAGGATGGGTGGGTGGGAGGTCCTTTCTCTTTCTCACAGGAACGAAAAGTTGGGGATGAAGGAGGACAATCCGCCTTGAAATGAAATTTTCCATACTAAACTGCAAAAAAACTTCTC